ATGTGAGGATGAAGTTACTGGTCAGTAATGTCTTCTTTGGGTGTCTGAAATATTCATGTCCTACAAAACACACAGTATCCAAACTGCAACTCCTTTTGGAAAGGGAGCACAGAAAACTATCAAATTTTCCTTATAGCAAAGCAATGCAAATTCCATATTGTGGAAGTGCAACTTCCTTTCTACACAGATCTGCTAGGCAGGGAAAAGATGTCTGAATTCCCCAAAACTAGGCAACAGCCCCATATTCATTGCACAATGAAAGTCATCTGAAAAGTTGAGCGGGGCAGAACTGTTTCTGGTTTCTTCTGAAATAGAAAATACAATATTCCACACTACTGTCCTCTTAAAAAGAAACCAGCTTGCTAAAAATTGGCAAGGTCAGTGTCAAAGAATGTGTGTATTAGTTGGCAAGCTTTCATAGCTTATCTTGGGCTGGCAGAACACGGAAGCCCAGAAATTCCCTAATTAGCAGCCACTCCTAAGAAAGGCCTTTACATATAATTCTGGAAACTCTGAAATGAAGTATGTAGGTTATACACTGACTCTAGAAATGCAACTCTTTCACTGCACTTCCATGAACTTGAGAGAACTGTTAATAGTTTCTCTTCATCTTCCTAGGAAAGCCCCACCATGTTTCCCTACTATTATAACTCTGATTTAAGAAGATATGAAACTAAGTCATGCTACAAGACTTTGGAATTGATCTTTCCCTTACATATGAAATACAAAACTGAGAACAAGTGGGGGAGATATTTTGCAGGACAACTGCAAGTTTTAGTATCCAAAGCGATAGTCGTGCTAATCTGATGCAGTCAACACAGTTTTGTGACATCTTTAAATATGAAGGGTGCAACCCAATGCATGTCTACACAGGAAAAAGTCCCCCAAATTCCCAGTATTCTCCAGTCAGCCATGTTGCCTGGTGAATACTGGGAGCTGTAGGGCTTTTTTCTGCTTAAACAATCATAGGACCGTGGCTTGTGGACTAGTCTAGTTCATCATATCCATGAAGTGTTACTATAAATTGGCAACAGTGTAAAAAGACAGAACTAATTTGACAGACATGCACACACATGCACAAAGAGACAGAATCATGTCGAAGATGAATCATAACCCAATTTTCATTGAAGCTTAAATGCATATAAAGTGCTTAACAGTGACTATTCACAAAGCAGTATTAAGAATAACGACATAGACATCCTAGCATTGGTAAGTTATAGGCATTAATCAGCATCTGTTTTGAATGGTCACTGTAACAGCTTTACATACACATAACAGAGTGGACTGGAGGGATTAAAAGGAGACTTGGAAGTTCTGCTAAACTGGACTGGCAGGAAGTGTCAGCTAATCATATTAAATTTATGTTGTTTCTTGGAAATTCTATTCCCGTGTGGAAAAGAGTTGCAGTGAAATGAAATAATTCATAGTATCTGTCCATAAAGACACTTTTTGCCAAACTGCTTTTTAAAAAGTTAGAACGCGATATAGTTTAACTTTAGCCAATCTACTTCTAATTTAAGTGACAGCAGAGCCCTCAATAGCAGTGTTACTTGCTGAAACGGGACAATTCGCAACAACTGTCAAACTGCCGTTTTCTATGTTACATGCAGTTAAGCCATCAGCCTTCAGGACAGCCCCACACAGAGTGCACTGCAACCCAGACTGAAGGTCTCTGGGGCTTGCAATATCATGGCCAAGCTATTGATTTTTTAAAATTGTCAGAGTTATATAAAAAAGCTAACACTCTCCCTTGCTTTTTAAGGAAGATGTTACACCTTTAAAGTGGTTATTTCCTATATGTGAGGAAAATCTTACAACCACACGAACCATGTAACCATCGCCTGGTGGGGGAAGATAAGGGAATTTGGGGCAAAAGAGGAACTACAACTAAACATAAACCACACCCCTGAAGCAGAACCGGATTTCTCTTTGTGAAAGGACATGAACCATCATGTGTACAGCGGGACAGGAAATCTGGGTAAAATTCTTAAGTTTTTCATGCAACCAGCAAAAATATCTGGAAAATTCCATTTGCAGGACCAAGCTTTGAAATGTTTTTCATATACGGACCAAAGGAATCTAATTATTATTTTTCCGAGCATAACTCTCCAAAGGTTTTTGAATATGTGAACATTTTAGGGCGCTGTATTTTTATCAACTTTTTTTACCCCTAGGTTGATTAAAAAATCTTTTTTTAGTAATACTGTTCCACTGATTTATTGGATTTCATTTTTATTTTTTCTTTATTCTTTATGGATTCAGCACATTAGACAAGAGGTATGATGAATGTTTTATCCATATACTAATTTATATCCTCCATAAAGCATGGAAAACCCCAGAAAATTCCCTTAAGTCAATTTTTCAGAAGTTTCAAAGCAAAGCACATAGGAAAAGCCTCATGTAGAACCACCTCTGTGAAGGTTTTTTCCAGTCCACACTAAAATAAGGGAATAAGGCCAAGTTTCAGTATAAACAAGTGAAGCAACCACTGTGCAGTCAAAAGGTAAGGAGTATTACTTCAAAATATGGCTTCCTAGCCATTCCAATGAGTACAGCTAACATGTCCTATCCCATAATCTTGCCCTGATGATGCCTCTGTGAAATAGCAGTGAGCTTATTCATTCACAGACAATGATTTGATATGTCTTGACAGCTTTGACAGAAGATACTTCCTTACAGGAACATGGCTTCAGAAAATAGCTAAGAAATATGGGGAAGTTTAAATTACATTTACATACATACATTTACATTACATACATACACACATGCAAATTACATTTACATACATACATACATTTACATACAGTAACCTGGAATGTAAGATCCATGAATCAAGGCAAGCTGAATGTGGTCAAATGAGATGACAAGACTGAACATTGACATCTTAGGAATTAGTGAACTAAAATGGACGGGAATGGGTGAATTTAATTCAGATGACCATCAGGTATACTACTGTGGGCAAGAATCCCTCAGAAGAAATGGAGTAGCCTTCATAGTCAATAAAAGAGTAGGAAATCAGTACTGGGATGCAATCTCCAAAATGACAGAATGATCTCAGTTCGAATCCAAGGCAAACCATTCAACATCACAATAGTCCAAGTCTATGCCCCAACCACTGGTGCTGAAGAGGCTGAAGCTGACCAGTTCTATGAAGGCCTACAACACCTTCTACAATTAACACCCAAAAATGATGTCCTTATCATCATGGGGGATTGGAATGCTAAAGTAGGAAGCCAAAAGATAACTGGAACAACAGGCAAGTTTGGCCTTGGAGTACAAAATGAAGCAGGGTACAGGCTGGTAGAATTTTGTCAAGAAAATACGATGGTCATAGCAAACACTCTTTTCCAACAACCCAAGAGATGACTCTACACATGGACATCACCATGTGTAGATCAAACTGTACTTTTTGGCCATGCTACAAACCATTGGTTCTTTGTGCAGTTATGTGCTGCACAAAGCCAAAAATGTTCATTGCTGAGAAAACACCATTCCCACAGAAAAGCATGATGGTGGCACCAGCATGTTGTGAGAATGCTTTTTCTCAGCAGAGACTGGGCCAGGATTGAGGGCAAGATGGAAGGAGCTAAACACAGGGCAATTTTAGAGGGAAATCTGTTTCAGTTTGTAAGGTATGGGGCAGAGGTTCACCTTCCAGCAGGAGAATGATCTCTAAACATTCAGCCAAAGTAACACTGGAAACTTTCCCTCTATAGGTAGTCACATTATGGCTGGTATTACAAAATAATAGATTTGGGTGCTTACTGAATGGTAGCCAGCATTGTTGGGCTCAGATTATTTATTCATAGGTCTTTGTGATTAATAGATTTCTTCTCATGATTATTGAAGTTCTGCAATAGAAAAAATGGGGAAACTAACATGATAATCCTGTTATTGGACAGGATTCTAACTAATGCTATTCCCAGATAAGCTGCAGTAAAGGAAGGTCACTTTGAGCATAGCTCATTTGTTTACAGAAGAAAATGGTAGCATGCAAGTAATCTTTATTTTAAAATGTTATGGTTAAAATTGGCTGGAAGACAGTAAACTTAAAGTAGTGCCAGGCAATAATACTTCTAGTGGTCCTATTCTTTAAAAGAGTTGTTTGCTAGCAGGTTGTAGATATTATGAAGAGGGATATTTGCTATGGAAAGGAGACATATTTTGCAAAATTTTTATTTCCATACTAATTTTCTTCGATCATTTCAAACATACCATAAGTTGATAAACCTTTAACTCAAGATGATATCTGGGTCAAGTTAATGATCAAGCTAAATAGACCAAATAGATGTGCACTTCAACAAATGTGAAGGCTATATCTTATCCAGTCTTTAAGCTTACATTTAATTGCAATAAAAAGTTTCATTCATGACCCTCTTTTTCCTCCAAATCCTTTTTTAGTATGCTGTTTGCATAGTTTTTTCAAGAAATTTTAACTCTTACATGCTCCAACATTCAGGTAGATATTTTAGATGTCATTATTTGCAAAGAATATTTAAGTAGAATTCTTAAGAATTCTGCAAACTGATTGTAAATGATAATCTAAATATACTTGCCCCAGTCAGGAATTCATTATTTTATTCCTGCTGTATGGGTTCTGATGACAGCTGCAATCCTTATCAAGGAATTTTGTAGTATCTCATATTTTGTGTCATGTTCAAGCAATATATTACCAAATCACCAGGATTGTTTTCCTCTTTTTTCATCTGGAGATGAAGCCCAAAAATGTTGTCATACTTACCCAAAGGTGTAGCACCAAAAAACAAAACTCTTAATTTTTCAGTTCTTGATTCATACATTCCATTCACTGACTACAACTATTCCATTCACTGAATACAACTATTAGTAATTCCAATACCAATTTCTGCAGTGTTCAGGTCACTAACTTATCTATCTCATTATGATTTCTACAGTAATATAACCATTGTGATCATGTAACATGTAGAAAAGTCTTTGCAAAGGAAGCATAGGTGATCAGGAAAATTTTAGAATTCATAATGTTTTCCTTGCTTAATTCAATGTTTATTGAATAGAATTTATGCAGCAATTATCCCCAGAATACTACACAATTTGTCATCTGTAGCATATTTCAAGAAGTGCCATTGATATAACGAATCATGATTGAGCAGATTTAAGGGGCTCCAGTGTTGGAAATTGTACAAGTCAGTCCAGTACAATCCTAAGTCCCTTACCAAGTCAACATTATCAGGGCCGTAACCTTCCTAAAAGCTTGTGTTACTATTGTGATGACCATCGCCTTCATTTTCCTGCCAGCTTCAACACATTTTGCACCATAGCCCCAATACCATCAAAGATATGATGCAGTTCAGTTTCACACATAAAGGCTGGGGTAGTTACCACCTTGTGGTTTGTGTCCACATGAGCTTCATAGACAGCAATTAAGGAAAACACAGTGACTAAAACCAAGCAACAGAACACATGCCTTTCAAGAACCCAACCACCTAAAACCCATGTTGCAGTCTGCCAATCTTGCTGTTGCTCACTTGGTTTACCCAACATTACATACCATTGTGGGTTGTCGCCAGGGGGTGGTTCAGGGTAGTTTGCCGTGATGTCTGAACCTAGAGCACATCACATTATTGTCCCCGTGAACAAGCCCTGCAGGGAACCTACAGCTCATTAGCTCACTCGGGGTTGCTTGCTCTGATATCCAAGCCAGGCTGTGTGACTTCATCATGGATCAGGAACTGCAAGGGAACTGCCCAGCAAGAGGAACAAAACCTGCAGCTCTGTTAGTCCCTCTGACATCCTCCCTCATCCCTTGTCCATGTTCTCCCATCCTGAAAATAAGGAAGATTAGTCCACGGGGATTGCCAACTCATGAGCAAAATTGCTCTCATTAGATTGCAAAAAGGAAATATTTGCGTACTTATGAACATGCCAACGCATTTGAAAACTTTCAAAATAATCAGTGTTTTGAGTATAGGCACAAGACCACCTGTCTACTATTTAGGGATAGAGTCTGCTTCCCATACTTTCTCATCTGTGGTAGTTACACCATGGTTTCCTCCAGCTTATGGTGATCCTATGAATAAATGCACTCCAAAGGTTTCACATGCTGCTTGAAAAGTTCCACCAGCCAGCTGTTTTACAGCACTAATGCAAGCTTGTCACCTCTCTCCAGTGGTCTCCCTTGTCAGCTGCCAGACACACACATGGGCTACTAATCAATGATGGAGATGTGTAACTTATGTAAATTTCAAGACAGCAGAGTGATCGGTATGTATGCATAATTTAGTGTGTACTAGTATAGTAAGGTGTGTGGATAAATTACATAAATTTCACAGAAGGGAATCTGAATATGTACACTTGCAAAAGACTGAAAAAAACTTTTAAAAAGGTTGCAAATGCACTCAGGATGCTCTAATTTTTTGTTGATTTCGGTGGAATTTGTTTCCAAATGTGTACCAGTTTGAGGAGAGAAAAACATTCTTCAATTCTGTCTTAATCCAGTAAAAAGGATATTGTCACTTCTCTGATGAGGTGTTTTCCTCCCAGTGCTTTAATGGCCCCAGCAGTTCCAGCATAAGGCCATTTACCACCTTGTTCTTCTTCATGTCCTACAGTGACTTCAGTGCCAGGAAGGACTTTTGCAGCCAGGACTGGGGAAATGCAGCATAGACTAAAATAAAGCAGACCATAGTCTTTACTAAGGTTCCTGAGTAGAAGATTTACTGTCACGTGCAAACTTAAACAATTGCACTTTGCTTCTCTTGCAAAAATTTAGCACACATTAAAACACCACCTCTGCAAAGCGGGGTAAAATTAGTGAAATCTTAACAAATTTCAAAGCAGCAATGGCAGTCTCAACCCAACAGGATTAAGACGGTAAAGTGAGGAAAAGTCTTCAAATAAGCATCTAAAAGCGAGCTGTTGTTGTGACAAGCTCTACTATGGGTGCAACAATCCTATGGTTCCAGGACAGAATCTATGGGATTGTTTGGATCACAAAACAGTACTGACCTTGTGGCATCCTCATTCGGAGTGCCCTCCCTCCTCCGCAGGCCACATGGAAAGAACTATCCCACCTGCTTCCGAGGTTGCAAAGCAATACCAAAGAAAGGCTTAATGGGCTTTCTAAGGGGCAGGAAGGAGGGGAGACTGGCACCACCCAGACATAATTTGTCAGTGTCTCAGGCTTCTTCCTTCTTCCCATGTGCAGCAGTCTGACAGCTGCTTTGTGGGGCGACCTTTGTCTCTATGCTCCTCCCACCTCATAAGATAGATAATTCTCCAAGGTCAGTGAGTTATGAAAATTTCTAATATTCAGAATGTTATTGAATTGTGCCATTAATATATTAACTCCATTATCACACTATGTTTTAGTAACATTGTATGAGAAGTCAAAAATATTTTAAGGGTCAAACTAGACATTACACAGGAAATTGATATAGCAATCTCTTGATTTTTAAAAGCAGTTCTTGGTGGTGAAAGAACATTTTAGGAAAGGAGCTGCATAAACTTTTTGCTTCTAAAAATGACTACCACTCCATTTGCTTGCCTGTCCACAAGTTAAAACTGTTGGGGAGAACAATGTTTACTGATTGGAGAAAAAAGAGTTTAGAAAATAAAGTTTAGCAGTCCCCTCCCATGTTGTTTCTCCATTCCTGAAGGCAGCTGCTCACAGCTGCTTTAAGAGAAAGAAATACTGAGTAATGGTGCTGTTTTTTGCACATTTACCAAATAATACTTTGCTTGATGTATGGGAAAACATGCGGAAGATTATTGTCTGGCGAGGAGTTAGGTGACATGTCCCATTTCTTCTCATGTTGCCATGATCAAGTACATTGATTTATGTTGAGTCTTCAGCTATACAATGAAATGTGTTTATGTTTCTCATCTTCTATTCTCCCAGGCCTAGAGCATTCGGGAGGATCCTAGATTAATCTGGAGTTGTTTAGCTCAAAGGCCAGGTGTTGGGCATGCATAGAATGGAAGTTAGAGAGTCAGAAGCATTCAACTATAAAACCAGGAGGGTGAGAGCTTGAATTTGGGAGCTTCTATACAGATCAGGTGCCAGATGCTGTGTGACTGATGGCCTGGGGTCTCTCTCACTGACTAACCAGGGCTCCTGGCAGCTGAAGGAGAGAAGATATTCTTGCAAGGTATAAATGCTGTTTTGTTTGCTTGTGGATAGATAAAGCATTACTTTTCCTTCACCTACTGGCATGCTCATTGCCTCCAAATCCGAAAAGAACCCCTGCCTCCTGGCAGAACAATTGGAATACCAGGAGAAATGCTAACAGCATAATGGATGTTTTATGAAAGAGAAATGTATTGGGAGAAATTATCAGATGGGACTTTAAACTGGAGAAACTCCACACACTGAAGTGTGTTAGGGAAACAGGGCAGTTGAGAGTTGAGAAATTGACTTTGATTAAGACCCAGAGGCAGAAGAAAGATGGATAAGGAGGCAGCACAGGGACCTCGGACAACATGGGTGAAAGAAACGAAACCTGAAGAAATTAGGATCCAATAGTGAAATGCAAAAAATGCATAGATTACAGGAAAAATAAGTCTGGAAGCCAGGAGGCAGTGCAAGAAATGAGCAGTGGACATATCTTGAACCACAGTCCCATAGATGCTGTGTTCAGTTTGACCTGCAGAGCTGACAGTTGTACAGGTATGAACTAAGTCTTAGCCTGAAAGCAGGTATGTACCACTTCATATGAGTTTTGTTTACCTCACAGAAGTAATTTTTAGGAAGGCTCCCTTATAAAATTTACATACCCAATAGGCTTCCCAGATTTATGGAATTCCTTTAGTACACGTTCAACTTCTTTGTCCACTTTACAGTCTTTCCCATCCACAGCAAATGTGGACCTGCCACAAAAAAAGGAAACCAATTGCATGGCATAGAATATATTACTCTATAAACCATATGCAGCATAAAATATATCACTAAGAAATACACAAACAAAACAAAGTATAGTAAAAACAGCAGCAACACCTTAAATTCAACCTAAGCAGCTAGGGCTGGGAGGCATTTATTTATTTATAAAAACATTTTATAACATCCCCTTTCACCCTACAGTGCCCAAGGATTCTTTTGTCCAAAAACTAAGGAAAGGCATAATAAATATGTCCCAGCTTAGCAGCACTCCTCTCCAGGCATGGTAAACTGCACCTCTGGTGACCCCAGAGTTTGTTTGTAGGATGGAATACACAGTACAGCTACCACATGAGGTGGCTTAAATCTCTTCTCATGCTGGTCCATTAAAATGCAGTTGCTCACAATAGTGATCAAGCAATTTTATCTCAGTAAATGAATCTTCCTACAGCTCTGTACAAATGACTCACCACACAAAACAGATGAGAAACTGCTCTCAGATGTGCCCTGCCCAATTTCTGCAACAAGTGACCAATTAAACAGGAGTGACTTCTCCTTTAAGCAGCCAGCAACAACTGGGTCTTAAAAACCTGAGCAGGGGTACACGAGAGCCTCTTTAAAAAGTTTTATTGGCATGCAGATGCAGAGAAGCCTTTTGGGGAAAAAAGTCATTGCTGGGTTAGCCTTCTGGTCACTTGCTGTAGTGAAAATCCCCTCTATTGGACAATTCGGCTTTTTAAAAAGTTTTCACTGGTGTCAAGTGAAGCTTTTTCTCCAAAGCCTCAATACCAAGATGCAGTCAGAGAAGGGGAAAGAGAAATAGGGGCAAAGAGAGAGAAGAGAGGTGTGTGTGCATGAGTGTACAAAAATGAGTTTTGCTCTGTTTTCACTCATTTGGCTGCAACCCCACCCACCTTAGAACGTCCCGATTTTTCCCAAAGAAATGCAGCCTGTTGTGAAAGAAAGGTTAGACAATGCATCTGCTAACCACAGTTAAAGAGAGCTGATAAAGACTTACCATTAACAGCTCCACTGAAAGAAAAAAGTACTATGTATCGGTTCAGTCTTTCAGTAAGATAAAATACTAAAATGAACCACAAGAGAAACTTTATACAGGTCATTATACTTCACCTACAATAAAACAGACCCATTTGGGCATTAGTGCTGCAAAGTCAAAAACTCCCCAAAACAAATCTTCATAAGCAGCATTACATTCAGTGTTGAGACTGGGAGTTTTCAACACATATACACCAATGGTAATATTTACTCTTATGAAATATGAAGTCTGTATGAACAGAGCTACACTATAGATGTATATCATGTTATCTTGTAAAATTAAATACTCACAGGTTTTTAGCCGCTCCAAAGCCTCCAGGAAATATGACAGCATCATGATCCTTTGCAGTAAGTTTAGCTAAGTCCACAACTTTACCACGAGCAATCCTTGCTGATTCTACCAAGACATTTCTTAAGGGGAAAAAAGGGCACAAAGGGAAAAGCAATAGCAGTGTGGGTTCACTGTTTTCAAGAGACCCACAAAAAGGACAGTGCACCTTATTTTTTCAACATATAAAGAAAATACACTAATTCTGAACAAGGATCAAAGCTACAAAGGAATTCCACTTAAAATTCTCAATACATACTTCTAATCATAAATGTAAATTGAATTAAAGTCTTTACAGACTTTCACAAATGTCATCAAAGAGGACTGGTGGTATAGCATCCAGAACAATCAGAACTGTGATTGGAATAAAAGGGACTTTACATATAAAATTTGCATATATCTGGATGTAAAAGACAATCCAGAAAACAGGTATTAGAGCAACCTTATTTCAGTTAGCCCAGCTTCCCACAGATAATGCTTTCAATATAAAAAGTATTGCAATATTGTTGTTGTTTAGCAAATTTGCATCTGACCCATCACAACCCCATGGACAACATCCTCCAGGCCTTCCTGTCCTTCACCATCCCCCGGAGTCCACTCAAGCTCACACCAACTGCTTCAGTGACTCCATCTAGCCACCTCATTCTCTGCCGTCCCCTTCTTCTTTTTCCATCAATTGTTCCCAGCATTAGGCTCTTCTCCAGGGAGTCCTTCCTTCTCATTAGGTGGCCAAAGTATTTGAGTTTCATCTTCAGGATCTGGCCTTCTAAAGAACAGTCAGGGTTGATCTCCTCTAGGACTGACTGGTTTGATCGCCTTGCAGTCCAAGGGACTCGCAGGAGTCTTCTCCAGCACCACGATTCAAAGGCCTCAATCCTTATGGTCCAACTTTCACAGCCATACATTGAACTGGGAAAACCATAGCTATGACTATATGCACTTTTGCTGGTAGGGTGATGTCTCTGCTTTTTAGTATGCTGCCTAGTTTTGCCATAGCTTTCCTCCCCAGGAGCAAGCGTCTTTTCATTTCTTGGCTGCAGTCCCTGTCTGCGGTGATCTTGGAGCCCAGGAAAATAAAATCTGTCACTACCTCCATTTGTTCCCCATCCATTTGCCAGGAAGTGATAGGCCCAGATGCCATGATCTTAGTTTTGTTTATTGTAATGTAGCATACTCTAAATTAGCTCTTACCTTGTTTCCCTCTCAATTGGTTCCCCTTTGCTGTGGTCAATAACATGCATCTGAGAAATATTTGGAGCATACATTTGAACACTGGCTCCACCACGACTCAAATGGACCAATATGCTATGAAAGACAAAATAAAGAGCACATTAAAGTGCATTTTACCTTACAACCAAGTCTTGACAGAAAATATCACTCCAACATACTCAAGTGAGAAATCATCCAGCACTGTAATGTTATCTTAGTTTATTGCTCAGTAAATCTGATCATTATCTTGGGGTTCTTATAATTATACAAATATGCTTACGCAGAGGCTTCATGGATTTCAGTGCCATCATAAACACCACATCCAGAAAGAACCTGCAAAAAGAAAATCAGTAACTGACTTGAAAGTCTCTGATTGACCACTGCAGGAACAGAATGCGGGACTAGATAGGCCTTTGCTTTGATCCAGCATGATTTTTCTTATGGTCAAGATCACATGTCCTGAAGGAACAAATATACTGGAAATAAAACAATGACTGCCAGATTTATCAGATGAAACTGCTATTGATACAGTTAACACAATTGACATTAGCTGAAAAACCCAGCTGTGGAATAGGGAAAACCTGTTTATCCTCTCAGAAAAATAGCCATACCTTCCTCATCTGTCTTTTCACACTTCTAATTTTCTACTAAGACCTACTTTGCAATGCCCACTAATAACTAGCACAGTGATTTATCATTAATTGTAATGACACATTGCCATTCTCAGATTGCATGAAATTCTAAGCCCCAAGTTTTGCATAAAGATTGTAGAGATAGTCATTATTCCTGCTGAGGGAAAGCTGTGCTTTACTACACTCTTGAAACAAGCTTTTCATAGGGAAATAAACACTTATTTATTACATTTTTATACCATCCAATAGCCCAAATGTTCTCTTACACTTCTGTCTAATGTACATTTGGAAGTAAAACTCTAATCCCCTCTACTTATCTCGGAGTAAGGGCAATTAAAACAGTGTTTTCTTCAAGTTCACATGCATAGGATTGTTCCAGTAGTTGGCAATTTGTGGCACTGCAATTGTTGGATGGCAGCTCCTGCCATCCCTTACCATTATTAGCTCTGCTGGCAAGGACCAAAGGGAGTTGCATTCCAACAACATTTGGAAGGCCATAAGATGTTGACCCAGTATAAGGAATTTAAGACAAGAGAGTGGCATAGTATCTAGAATGCTGAACTGGGAAGACCTTGGTTCTAGGCTAAATTCTGCCATGAAGCGCACTGGGGGACTTTGGGACACTGATTCTCAGCCTATCTTGCCTCACAGGGCAAAAATAGGGATTGCCTTGGATCTTATGGACACAAACAGGGTGTCGATGTAACAAATAAATAAGACATGTCTTCTAGAGTATACTTTGTTCTCCAATTCTGTAGATTTTTTCTTCTGCACACCTTTGGAAACAGTTGTATAGTCCAGAAAGGCTAGCACATTTTTAATAATATAACCTTTATGGATTAGAGTACACTGCAGAAGAGAAAGTTAAGTGGCAACAAGAAAACATTCTTCAAATATCTGAAAGACTATCATGGAGAAAGGGGGCAGAACTGGCCACTGTTACTCCAGAGACAGGATCAGAACCAGTGGGGGGAAACTGCAAGAAAGTTTTCAGTTACACACTATTAAGAAAGTCTTAACAGTGAGGGATATTTGGCAGTGAAACAGCCTGAATAAGAAATTGGTAGGTTCTCCTTTGTGGCAAAGTTTTAAGCAGAAGATGCTTAAGAAATTCTCAAGAAATATTAACAAGATTTAGTTACACTTTTAGGCAAGCTTTATTCCACTGAACTTCATTTTTTCAAAGGCAGTCACTGACTACCTAACATTACCACTGAGACTACAAGTCTAAATCACTTAGAAGCTCAACTGATACTCAAATTTACTTCTGAAAGCTTATGCAATGATCTTGTTAGCTTTCAAGATGTCACAAAACTCATTGTTTGGCCTGTATGAGAATAACACAGCCGCCCCTCTGAATAACTATGCATAGGAGTGTCTTATAAACTAGTCACGGGAACTGTAGCTCAGCTAACTTCTCCCCAAGGTATTTATTTATTAGATTTTTAGCCCACCCCATTAACCATAAGGCTCCCAACCAACCATCAGAAGCACCTGCCCTTTAACTCCAAAGGACCCCAAAATACGCCAAATGCCTGGAGTTTAAAATTAATAGTGTTAAAAGCTCATAGAGGTGCCTGCTTTTATTTGATGGTGTTCATTAACTTTCAACAAGTACATGGAAAGCAGAATTTCAGCGCATGCGGCTTTGCTCAGCAGCGTGCATCTGGGAAAGGGGTGTGGAACTCGCAACCTATTGAACTTCTGCCTGCGAAAGGCACAGGCGCCCCCCAGCGGCGAAGGAGGGTTCCAGAGCCGTAGAGAAAAGACTGCCCGCAAGAAACACGCATAGGGGAACACGAATAGCGGAGGGGCCCATCCCCTCCTCGCACCAGGCTGGCACGCTTGGCCCCGGCTGTGTCTGCCTGCTGCTGGTGGCAGCCATGGACTCACCACCGCGACTTTGGCCCCGCGAAGGCGCTGCGCCGAGCCATGAAACGCGGCAGCTGCGGGGGCGGCCAGAGCGCCCCTCGGCGAAAGGAGCGCCGAAGACAGGCGAGGCAGCCTCCAGCTCGCGGCCCTGGCGGCCAACATTGCTGCTCCGCAAGGAGAGGACGGGGCGGACGGGAAGGCGCCGAGAGCCGAGCCGGGCCAAGTGGCGCAGGAGCGCTTCAGTAGCGGCTCTGTGGGCCGCAACGCAGCAGCTCCACCGCGCGGCGGGGAGGCCTCTCTGCACGCCAAGCGCCCAAGGTTGCCTGCAGCGGCCCGTGTTCGCCCCGGGGCCTCGCTGCTGAATAAGGCACATGCTCTTGCAAGGCCTGTCATGGCTGCACGGAAATGCTCGGTGTTGTGCCGGCTGCTTTGGTTAGAGCAATGCAACGAACGTAGGTTAGACCAGCGCTGCCTCCCACCTACTGGATGCATGCACCCCTTCGTCTTCTCTGCACTCCTTCTTTCCCTTAACAGACGAGGGGGCAGATGCTCGCCCGACGATTTACAATCATGAAGAACAAAGAAATCACCAAACAGCAACGAACATTTCAAAATACTAGGGTCAGTATGGTAACTGCGGAAGGGCTTACCCTACCCTCTAAATATGTTTGACTTTCCACAAATAAGAAAGTGGCACTGCCAAGAAGCCTTTTTCCTTGGTAGCCATTCATCTCACCATCAACCGCTATAAAGCCTCCAGTGATGATCTTAGCAATCAGTCATCTCATCACAAGATAACCACTTATTATGCAAAGCAAGGCAGCTGCCTTAAGCAGCAGATATTAAGAGTTGCAAAAGGAAAGCCGATTGTTGATTCATTATTAGTACATTCTTATTCCCAGGCACTTGGGGATTTATTTTACCTCAGTTAGCAAAATAACTTAAAGAGACATAGTTGCATCTCAAGCTGCCTTGCTCATCCAATTCAGCATTTTATTTGCAGCTTTTATTCCAGGTCCTTTAGCCAAAAACCGCTGGAAAGCAGCTTATTACATTTAAATCCTATCTTTTCCCTCTTGTTTACACAGCCCTCACTCGCAACCTTAGGAAGTAGGCTGGGGCCTATCTGAAGAGGTATTGAGGGTGACAGTTTATTTCTCCCTCTCCTGCTTACACAACAGTTGATTGGAATGTCCTCTATAAACAAGAGAAAGTCCCAGTCCCAGCTTGGTAGACCACAGCAATCACAGTTCAGATCTTGGCACTTGCATTTAATGCCCTAGGTTAAGTCTGAGGACTAAGTACCTAAAGAAACAACTCATCCCACATTAGCCTGCCTATGGCACAGATTTTTAAACAATAATTTTACAATGACTTTCAATTTTAACTGCTATTTCTGCTTATTGAGTGTGACTGTATTTAAAATAATTATTTATTAATGTATTTTGTGGTGGTAGAAATACTATTGAAGGATGGTATAATAAACTTTTAAAAAATGATATTCCAGTAAGCTACATCTCCACCCCCATGACTAAAACACCACATGCATCTTCTGAACTTCATTTATTTTAGCCTGCGGTATTAAAGCATTGCTATAGTTATAACAGAGTTTCTTCACGGTTTCCATTCCAGCTACAAGGTTGGCACAAGAATACCAGCTCATTTGTTATGGAATTTTTTTAATGTACTGAAGTACACTGTTACATACCAAGTCTTCCCAAAAGTAATTAGATGACATAATGGTCTCCAGAAACCCCATGAGACAATGAACTTACATTCCTTTCTATTTTAACTGAAAAACAGGCCTTGCTTTTCTGGTACACATCCAGATCTAAATCTACTTTCAGTTAATTTTAGACCCCAGTGGTCCTTGTATTTACCCTTTCCCCATAACTGTTTAGTTTTATACAATGTTTTTATATCAAAAATAATGTAAGCAATTTGCCAACTAAATCCACCCATGCACACACATGCAAGTCCTGTGCATGTGTGGAAAGAGGCAATCTGCAATACCACTGCCATACTTTTATACATTTTATCCAAAGCAAGCAAAAAGTCATGGTTTGAATGTAACAGCATAAAGAAGCTGCAAATTCAAATAAACTGTACAAAATAAGCCACTATGAGGGCTGCTCAATTCTCAGTGAATACCACTGCTTAAAAATACCACTGCTTAAAAAAGTTCTCAAAAATTAATCCAACAAGTATTTTTCATGAAAGCACATCGGATTCTTCCATAAGAGAGTCATTATTGCAGTCTTCAAAATTCTGTAAATCTTCACTATTTTCAGATGCATCTGCTCTACGCTTTATACCCCGTTGTTGGGAAATGGACAAAATATATTTCATGTTGTAACAATTCCAGTCACAACTGTAAAAAAAGAAAGACCATTGGAAAAATGTTTAGGGTAGGTTAAACCAAAGCAAGTAAGAATATATGTAACAATGTTATGTACAATCTAAGAATGTATAAACAACAACAACAATATATAAAGATGGAGCCAACAGCCAGAGGTAATATGACTTGGGACTAATTCACACATGCAACACATATCATTTGATTATTTTGTTCTTATCAGTGAAAACAAATGTGAAAAGTGACCTCAATGAAAGAAATATAATGTGATACAAATAAAAAGAGCTGTTTCTGTATTTTCTGATACTATCGGACCTTTTCGCATTAGCTATTGTACAAATAGACTAAATACCATCTTCACAAAGCAACAGGAACTAGGAAGTGAATGAGTATCCACAACATTTGCTGGAAGAAAAATCACATTTTAGGCTGCCAGGTAAAATCCTCCACAAGGGATGGGAAATGGGACAGAGGAAAAATGGAAATGTAAATAACACAGATACTACTGCTGTTCTATAATCATTCCTATGCTATGAAGGAGAGAGATTGTTTAATGTAAAATGCAGTTGAGTACATACAGTTTGGAAAGATCTTCAAAGTGATGTTGAATGCTCTTCTGAAGGAACTGAATAGTTGGCAGCAGTTTTCCTGACCTGCAAAATCACATACACATAAAACCCATTAAACATCCCTGTTTATACAGTCATTCTTAAACTAAAAATGATAAAACTGCTAATTTGTACACGTGTAAGTGAAATAACTACTACTTATAGCAGAGAGTTAGACAGATACCTAAGGAGATATATGCATGCTTATGCACATACTCACAGAAAAGAGGGAGATTGAATTGAACATAATACTAAAGGTTAAGTGGATCCGACAAGTGCTGATGAAAAACCATTGCAAAGTATATAGGAGGGCAAGTTATTAACGTGTCACATTCTCATTTTCTTCTAAACCCAAGCTAACTAACCTTGTTTTTAACTTGCATCCATGCAGCATGAGCAAACTCTGAGTCCACATAAGGTAAAATTCCAAATGATGAGATTTCTCAATTGAAGAAGCTAAAAATTCAAGCATCTTTTCTATGTACAGTTCAGGGAGTGAAGAGCAGACTACTTCAACTGTATAAAAAAATGATAGTTTATTGTCAAATGAGCAAAAACACAATCTGTAAAAGAACAGATCATACAGGATGCACTCTCTGTATTTGCAACAAAGAAAATCAGGGAACTCTTATACCATATGACATAATGTTTCCTCACTTCTTCCTTTATATTCTTGAAATGGCCACTAAGTTATGTCAAACACCAGAGATCATTTGGGCCAATCTGTGCATATGGCAACCAGGTCTTGATCCTAACTCCAGGACCTATGACCCTCTGCAAACTTCACATTACACTTGCAATGGGCAGTCCAGCTTACTTTCATTATATGGCACAGTTTCCAGAACCTCCTGAATCAGTTTCTTCTCATTGAGTCGAAAAGCCATGACAATAGCCTTGGTGTATTCCTTCTGATGCAGTACTTTGTGTATATTGCCAGGTGTGATGTCAATTTCTAAGTCAAATGGATCAAAGATAAGACCAGAATCTAAAGAGTAAATAAGGAGGCCTTCTGTGGTGGTTGCTGCCCAGCTGCGTCCTGCAAGAGAAGCACTGGTATTACTAATGTTGCACATGCCTAAAAGGAGGACAGGCGAGAGCGCAGGAAACCACATACCAGATCTAGGAAGAGAAATAATCTGTATGTACAGATGGCTTTGTTGGTTATTATAAAGCGATTTACAACCAGTCAGACAATCTACTGCGCGTCATGTTATAAAGTAACAGTAAGTGATCAGTATGATTATGGTTACATTGCCCTAAGACAGTCACCTTATTCAAATTAACTTCCACAACATGACCTTAAAATACCAGTACAAAAAGCAAAACCCACCAGTGGGAGAGAAGCGGAGGCAGGTGACTCTTATCTCAGGTTTAAAATGTCGAGAACTCATGTCACCTGGAAACAAAGCAAAATACAATTTGGTCTCCTGCTACCTTTAATATAGAATACATGACACACCAAATTAATTTCAGTAAGCCAGCAATAAGAGTGAGGAAGATGGCATCTAAGTACACAGGAGTTCATGACTATGTCAGTTTTCTGAATGTAAAAAATAAAAAATAAAAATCTAAAAATAAAAGTAAAATGCAGAACACGAGAACTATATTTTCTCTTCACATTCACTACCACCACTGAACTATACAGATAAAATATCAGTTAGTCACCCATTGTGGCAGGAGTAAGGAAGATCATTCAGCCTGAGTCACAGAGATGGTTTTCCCCAAAAGAGATGTATGGCATGGGGGGTGGGTGCCCCATGCAAACATGCTCCCCAGAGAGATTCGCCTGGCGCGCCAACGCTTCTTTCCTTTCAGTGTCAGGTGAAACCCTTTTTGTTCTCCCAATATTTTAATTGTTAAGTGTCTTAATTGATGGCTTTATAATTGTATCGGATGCTGCTTCACTCCTTACTTCTATTTTTATTCTACTTGATTAACAGAGTTGTAAACACAGAGTGAAAATACAGTACTACAATGCATTGGACTGGAAAATTAGGCACTGGAACATATTCTATCTAGAGATATCACAGAAATACAAGTGATTGCTGTAGCTAACGCAAACGGAAGAAATATTCAACTTTTCAGGTGTCCATGACAATGAGTTTTGCTTCCTTATGGATGCTGAATACAGACATAATTCTATTGGTCTGCAAGCGAAAACATTTGGTCATCATTTTAGCAAGTGAGAGCAACAAATAATGTACAGAAGACTTTTTTTAAAAGTGCTCATCCTTTTCATTCCATGCTGACTCAGCAAGGAATATTCCTAGCTCATGTGGCAGTAAGAACAACCTATATAGCTGATTGCTATGAAGTAACAGATACCTCTTTTTACTCCTGGAAGAGGGATGGCAACACTATCATCATCCCCAGTTCCTTCATCTATCAATGCCATACTGCCAAATTCAGTCATTTTCCTACGATCCAAGTACTCCTGTAAAATAAAAGAAATGACAATAGCTTCATTTAAATCAAATATACACAAATTCATATGAACTGTTTGGAATTTCTATTGTGTTTCAAAATACAACTGCAGTATCACATCCTACAGTGGGTTGTTCAATCTCCATTCCTCTCAACCAAAGCAAAGTAGTGATAAAAAGTTCCTGGATAAAAAGCAAAGCACTATAAAGACAGCAATTTTAACTCAGACCTGAAATAAATAGCAGCGCCTTAAAACAATAATGCTTCAGAAGAGGCACACAACACTAAAACAGACACTGCCTTAAATCCATATCTAACAGTTATATCTTTTTTATTTTTACTGTTAAGTAGTCAAGAGTTCCCAGTTTGGACTCTAGTATGGGAGATAGTGAGATCAAGTTCCCTGCACCTATTCTAGTAAAAATGAAAAACATGACTGCTAAATGTAAATTTAAAGTAATATTTTTGTTATAGCCAAGTCAGAACACAGATCTGCATTCCTTGGTCCAATGAGTGAATTCACTCTTTGGTTAGTTTTGAGCAAGCAGCAACTAATGTACTTTCATTTCATGATTTCATATAGTTCAGAGGTGGGTGGAATGTAAATCAGGACCTGCTGGTAGATCTCTGGGTGATTTGTAAGAGACTGACTCAGGCTTTCCAAAGTAATGCATTTAAGAAGCTCTTCCTGCATAAGTCACATTAAAGGTAAAGGTTTCCCCTTGATGTTAAGTCCAGTCATGCCTGACTCTCAGGGGCGGTGCTCATCTCCGTTTCCTAGCCGAGGGAGCGAGCATTTGTCCGCAGACAGTCTCTGTGGTCATGTGGCCGGCATGACTAAACACCAAAGTGCACGGAATGCTGTTACCTGCCCGCCGAAGTGGTACCTTTTTATCTACTTGCATTTGCATACTTTCGAACTGCAAGGTGGGCAGGAGCTGGGACGGAGCAACGGGAACTCACCCCACTGTGCAGATTACCCTAAGTCACATTAGGTAGCTAAAAAAGACCTTCGAAGGAAAGCAGCGGCACATTTTTGTATGAAAGAAATGGTGTTCCCAGACTCTAGATCACAAAATCTTGGGCTGAACATATACTCTGAGACAACCTTTTCCTTTATTATTTGCATATGCCAGCGTTCTTCATTTCAGTCTGATTGGTAGACCTCAAAGTTCTACTATTTATTTTATCAGATTTACATCCTGCCTTTTTCTTTTTTAAATAACTCAAAGCAGCTTACATCATTCTCCTCCTCCTGCTCTCAATCTTATCCAAACAGCAATCCTGTGAGCTGGTTAGGCTGAGAGATTCTGTGACTGGCTAAAAGTCATCCAGTTGGCTCCATGGCTGAGCAGGGAGTAGAACTCAGATTGCCCAAGTTGCAGACCCATGCACAACACCACACTGCCTCCAGTTCTCGTAAAAAATGGCAAAGGCGATCCTCACAAGTCTAACAGCTTCTGATACAGGTCATCTTATTTTTATTTATTTATTTTATTTATTTAAAACATTTCTATGCCGCCCCATTCGCTGAAGCCTCAGGGCGGCTCACAACATAAAATTAAAATATAAAACATTCAAATATACAACAAATTAACAATAGAGAGTAAGTCGCCCTGGCCAGATAAAATAAGCAAATAATATTAACAATTAAAATGACGTTTAAATAAAAAGGTCTTCGCCTGGCGCCGAAAAACAAATAACGACGGTGCCAGGCAGACCTCTCTGGGGAGCGCATTCCATCTGCCCAAATACACACACAGACACACACACAAAGCTAAATGACTAACCTCCATTGCATCAAAGGAAAGATTGCAAGATATTTCAAATTTCTTGATAAGGATTTGTTCCTTGACATGATAAATACAAACGAACTTTGACAACCCTCCTGCCAGAATACACTGCCCATCTGCTGAGTAACACAGAGTAGTAAAAGATCTGAACGAAAGGAAGGAAGACAAAGACAATATACATAAGTAATTTTGCATAGATCTTACAGCTTAAGCTTTACACAATTTAAACCTCTTTCCTGTGTCATTCAAACATCAAAACAATTAGCTTTGCATTGTATCTCTTCTACACATTTTAGAGAGCATTACCTTTTAGAAAGTTTTAGCTTTTCTGCCATGTAAGCAGCAGCAGTAGTCAGGGAATGCAATAAGATGTTGCAATTTATTCCCATTTACTAAAAGAAGTACTGCGATGTCGAAGTATTTCAATGTCCATCTGTAAAAGGCTATCCCATTCCCACCCACAAGGTCTCCTCATTTCCTTTCCAACTGTCACTTAGCATTGTGAAACTCCTAGTGCTATGAAGCTTTCTCAAACCTCATCGGGCTGAGGGACAACTACCCCCTTTAAGATATTTCAAAATATTTTTTATACTTCTGCAAGCCTTGATTGTTTCAAGCATATTGAACAACTCATGAACAACAAGACTTCTCTCCTCTTCCCACTTTGCTCATGACCCCATTTTGGTCCCTCTTTTGGCTTTCTTCCTTTCTCCCTCTGCTCTTCATTTATTTTTATTTTATTTATTTATTAAAACATTTCTATGCCGCCCCTTGCCAAGGCCTCGGGGCGGCTTACAACATCAAATTCGTGGCTTCTACAAAGGTCTCTAAGCAGCATGCTGGTTTGCCACCGATTTAAAAAAAACAGGTGCTAGAAAAGTATACAAATATTTTAATAATTTCTCCCCTAGTCTTTGACAGGTACACACTTGCACCTGAAATTACCAAACTTCCAGATCAGTGTCAAAATAAATGTCTGTTATTAAAGTAAATATTGACACTGACCAAGGAAGGATGAAAATAAGTCATTTCATTACTTATTTAACAGTTATGAAGCAATGACCTGTCAAGCAAAAAGTAAAACCGTTAAAAGATATTTGCTAGTGAAATGGGGTGGCAAGTATATCACTTTGTTAGACCTGAAGTGTGAATCTGACAGTTCTTAGTATCCTCCACCTCCAGTTAAAACTGTAAGTACTTGGAAAAGAAGAAAAGTGCATCCCACCCTATTTAATGAACACAAAGTTTTAACAGTTTATGCTTTTAAAATGTTTCTTTAAAACAGGATTTTTCATAGAGCTAAATAGGATTTTTTGACAGGGAAATACATAGATTTCATGGCTGCATATATAAATATCTGATTGATATGACCCAAGTTATCAACCAGATATTTACACTATCTCATATTCAATCTTTTACCTACAGGCAGAAGTCACATTTAGTTTAGAAAAGGAAAGGCTTTCACTCCCAGATTCCAATAATCCCATGGGAAACACAAGAGCCTTAAAGGAATTATGCAGTGCAAAAGCTTCCTACTCCTACATTCAAGTAAGCTTAAGATACAATACAACCAGTTATTTGGATGGTAATAATAGACATATAAATATAATAAATATTCCAAACTCAAAGGAAGATAGTTTTTTCATAAAAATATTACAAAATTCTACTTACTTTCCCTTAGCAGCTTGCTTGGCAGTTATCTTGTCCAACTCCTTTCTTCCCATCTGTAGGTCATGTCGCCCCACAATGGATCCAGTCTGTACTGCATTTTCATGATCCCAGAAAGTTATCTGCCCATCGAGGGACGCAACTGCAAGTTCATTGCCATCGGGGCGAAAAGCAACAGTAAGCACTGCAAAACACCAGAATATAAGATCAATGTCAAACCTTGTTTAGGAAGCATTCCTTTATATATGGATGGACTATATCGCCCTCAAATTTACAAACCCAGCCAGACTCACACAAAAACCCGATCCAAAATCATCATCTACTTACACTTCCAAGAAATCCACGCATTTCATGAGTACTGTTACATTCACACAATGTTACACTGGAACATAATGGTTTAATTCCTGCATTTGTTCATTCTGTATTTCTTTAGTTTTAACTGTTTCAATATGATTTCTAATATGATAAGTTATATTTTGAGTATTTGCTAAAAACCTCACATTTCTTCCTAAAACCATTTAGGAGTCTCCATATGACTGAAGCTTCAAGCAGCCAAGGTATCCCATAATCACTGCAAAGACATGTGCAACAGTGATGCATAAATGTATACAAGACATGTTCAAGATATTTACCATCTGTGTTTAGTGCCAGGGTTTCTTTGGTCCTCCAGCTATCCAGCATATCCCATAATCTGACTGTTTTATCCCAAGAGGCACTTGCAAGGAGACACTTCATTGGGTTAAAACTGAGACTGCTGATGGGGCCTTCATGACCAGCTAGCACCTAATGCAGGGGAAAGTACATAAAAAGATAGGAAACGTATTACTAATTCTTTATATAATCTTATACCAAAAAACAGATCTACCTCAGCCTAGAGGGTGATTCCAAGGTCACCCACTGCAAGAGAGTTTATTATTGGGCTATAATTACAGAATTTAAAGATTACTATGACATGTGCCTTTCAGATCACATTTTATCTGGCAAACTGTATGATCTAGTTATCTCATTCTATTAATGCACATGCAGTTTAAGACTAAAAGCAGATACACTAAGCAAATTGGTGGGCAGATACAATCAAGAGCCAGGATTCCAGGATCAGTGACATTCCAGTACACTCACACTGCAAACAATATGTCCCAAAATAACAGCCAAGAACATTATACCACTAGGTAACTCATCTGGATACAGTCTTAAGGACAAGCAATTGAACAAAATAAGATGTTTGACCAAGGATGCTGTAAAAGCTACAAAGGCATTAGATGTATAATTCAGGTGTGATATCGCTTAACAAGAACAACTGAGAGGTTCCCTAGACATGTGCCTTTTTTCTGATGATTACTTTAAGCTCAGCATATACACAATCTTTAAAGATGTTTATGCATTACTAGTACTTATAAACTATTTCTCATTTGAAACAAATCCCCATACAGTAGGCCTCAATAGAAAGACTTTGAAAATAGGTTTGGAGGGGAGGGGAGAATAGAGTATGCCAGTTCCTTACATCTAAGAGTCGGCCGCTCTGCATTGACCATACAAATACTTCAAAAGAGTCCTGGGAACCAGCTGAAACAATCTCACCACTGGAGTCCACAGCCAGGCAAGAGAACTGGGTTGGTCGTGGGGAAGTGAAGGTTCTGAAATTGCGGTATCTGTTTAAAGTATAGAGAAATAAGATTTAAGAACTGACTTCTGTGCTTAGGTACTTTTTGCTGTTAAGAAAAAAAAATCAATGGAATTACAAACATGGAAAACCCCCAAACAATTAATTTTGATTTTCATTTCTACAAAACTAGACTTTTCTGTTTGATACATCTGTTTCTGACACTAGGAGTGATTCTGACATGCAATACTTTGAATGGTAAAATGTTCACATGTTAAGTAGCACAACTGCTACAAGAGAAGTATACAACAGAATTTGCACGTTTGCGTAAGAATTTAATTAAAAACACTCATTCTAAATCTTCAGGTTTCAACTCCAAGCAAAAACTAAGTTGGAGAGACTATGAGGCAAAAGAATGAAACTACCTGTGCAAATCAAAAGCACGCACAGTTCCATCTAGGGAAGCACTCAAAATGACATAGCCTGAGGAGGTGAATGTTACAGCAGATACACAACTAGTATGTTCTGTAAAGGTGACAAAGCAGAAACCACTGTTGGTGTTCCATACCTTCACCTGCAAATGGAACAGAAAAGTTATTTCAGTAAATTGCAGACATATTCTTTTTCTAGGCCAGAAAAGCAAGCATAAACAGCTCACCCTGACTCACTAAAACTACAACTCTGCATGCCATACTGAGTAGTATTAAAGCCTCAGGGAACTTCGCTAGCTGTGTTTGAGAACAAAATACAGAATTATATATCCCAAAGGTCAAATAAAACTTATCTTATTCCACTCTGGATGATAAATCTCTCTAGGTGTACTCTAGGGTCAGTACAGCCAACTTAGAACATGGTTGACTTCACTGTTAAGCAGCTTTGTCACTATATTCAAAATACACTCTAATGTTTAAAATCAGCTCCATAGCAGAACCAAAATAAGTACATACATAAGATACAAGGTTTGAGCCTCTAAGAAATATTTGCCCAGATTCAGAAAAAAAAGTACAACATTAGCATTATGACAGGTTCTTTCTTAATAGGATTATGATTCACGTTCAGAAATAGTGGATTGTAGAAAGCCACAAACTGAACTTTCACCAATAATGGCAATACTTACTTTCCCATCATCCCCACCAGTAACTAAGTATTGCCCATCCGGAGAGTATGCAAATGACACCATACTGTTGAAATGCCCTTGTTGCTTCAGCACATAGGATTCACTTTGCCATTCCCAGACCAGGAGCTGACCCAGACCTGTCCACACAAATGAAAGGAATGCTGGGCAAGAAGTGCAGATGCAAAGCCAACTATTAAATCTACACAGTTTCCTATAATACTATAGTGTTACACAACCATTCAGCATTCACAACAACATACAAAATATAGTTGATGTGCATCCTGGTTTAACAAACGTAAACTGCCAACTATTTCAAAATTAAGATAAGTATCTCCATTTAAGAGATTGCAGTTAATAAATACAGACCTATTGTGCCATACGGGTCCTCAGAAAGACACCCTGAGCACCCACAAAGTATATTTTACTCATTTTCAATATATCTACTTATTTCATTTTTATACCATCCAACATCCAAAGCTATCAGGAGGGTAAACAAACATTAAAATTAAACAAATGTCACACACATAGAGATTTATATTCATCCAAATCAGTGACTACACATGACCTATTCAAATATGAAAATAGAATTATCAAGCAATGATATAGCCTTGCTCTTTCTGTCCACACAATCCCTTTTCTGGCTAATTTCTCTCCCTTATCCATCCCATGCCTTTTCTTCTCTCCTTCTTAGGCCCCTGCACTGCTCTTTCTCACCTACTCAACCCTTTAATGGTGCAGTTTCTCTTCATACCAGATTCTAAACTCACTATTTCACCCCCACTCCTTAACCTCATTGTTTATTCCCCCTTCTAACCACTAGTCTTGCTCTCTCTCATCTCTCTACCCCTCTGCTGTACTATTTTTCTTGGTCTTCTAACCTCACCATTGCTCGCCCCCGCCCCCTTTGACCAGCCAGGCACCCAGCCACATCTTCCATGGGAACCATGTTGCAGCAGTACAATCAGCAGGTTGGCAAATTCCTAATATATCCACAGGTTCAAAAAGGCTGAGAATCCCAGCTGTAGGTAGTCAACAGTAAGGCCTGCACCTGTTCAGTGACAGCACTAACCAAATAGATGACAGACTTTTTGCATATTTGGGATTCCTTACACAGGCTTGCACTTGCCCATATTCACCCAGATGAACGATGCTGGAAATTATATTAAATATACACAGTTACACACAATTGCTGCAACAACAAGATTTGCAACAATGGCAGTCATCACATGTAACTAATGGGGCTGCTGTACTTTGAAAACAGATGTGTTACAAGCTATTGCATACACAGGAATTGCTGTCATGGAACGGGGGCAGAAAGGAAAGATTAACAATAAATTTGTATAATTTACATTGTTCTTTGTTCTAAAGGCAACACTGAATTTTTCCCTAGCCTTCTAAAAACTAAATTACGTTGCATACTAAAGAGACGTTTTTATCTCAGTGTAAAGTTTCGTGAAGTTAATGAAAAGGTTATTTTAGCATCACTGATTGCATGAACAAGCTCTCACCTAGTTACATAACCGATTGCACAAAGAGACCCTTACCTGCACATCCAAAGGCAATCCAGTCACCAGTACTGTTGACAGAAATGGAAGCAATTCTCTGGTCTGAAATGCTAAGACAAAAAGATGCACAAGGCACCAGTTAAAGCTGAGTAATAAGAGCAAGAGCAAAGCTAAGCATCTCGGTTCTTAAGTCAAACTTTCAGACACATATAAGATCATGCATTAAGTAATACTAAATACTGTTGGACTATTGGTGGAATATAAATGTAATAATAAAATAAATAAGGAAAGAACAATTGTCAGTATGATTTAGAACAACATCAAGTCAGCTAAGGTTCTACAAAATGGATCCCTCAAGTTCACTCCAGTGAACTGTACAAAGAAAAATTCAAAATATTCACATTATCACATTGTTTAAGAGGGCTAAATAGTGCTGCTTTGAGAATATATCTGATTTCAGCAGAATAACGAAGTCTATACTAGTCAAATGAGTTTCATCCTTAAAGTCAGTGACTCGCAATTGTTGAACATCGTGCTTAATGAACATATTTCTGTTATTACGTATACCTGTCACTAGCTGTAAGCTCAAAGTTTCAATAGCTTGTACAGTAGCCCACACAAGAACTTAACACGCTATCTCACAAAAGAGGCAAGAGGAGGCAGTCTGCTGCATTATACTGACCTGAAACCCTTTGAATTAAAATGTACACGTGCAAATTTCATGCTATATTAATTATATATAGCAATATCCATGAAATCTATCCATGGCATTAGTAACAAATAAAGAATCCATTAAAAGTAATTAATGGACATATAAGGAATCAGATTCAAATTGAGCTTCACTAGTTTCCTTTATTCCAAAACATTTCACTTTCTGATCATGTAAATTCCCTCCGTTCTCCTAGGTCACAATCCTATGGTTACTAGATGCTGTCAGAGGAGATGTTGGAGCCTGAGCTCTGATCATGGAAAAAAACTATACCAGCTGCAGCTTTTTTAAAGGTCACATTTGTTTTCAATAAGCAGCAATATCAATATTAACCTTAAAGAATGGATGAGATTGAATTCTGGAAGCTCATGGAGGTGAAAAATTCCTGAAGCAAAGCCAGTGACTAGCAAGTGAATTTTCTTATGGTAAGCTGCCGCGGTCAAGGAGTTGAAGTCCCCTTCCTTATTGAAAAAGTATCTGGAAAAAAAGGTATTACAACCGGAAAAAGTTATGACATAACACAAATTTAATACAATGTGCTTTCAATATTCAGTTATCTTTGTAGCAAAGAATAGTTGGACAAACAGGAGAAAAAGCAGTAATTGTTTATGGAACAACCGTGTTTTGGATATGCTAATGTACAAAAGGTTAGGAAAAACAGTGGCAATTAAAAATATACCCCCAAACTCAGTATATAAAGCCAAACGAAGCACGACAGTTTCTCATGATAACCAATATTCTTTCTCCTAGGTGACTACGACCTTAGATTTCTACTTAATCACCTCCAGCCAACATCTGTTCCTATCATTAACATTGGTCAAATCAATGTAATAAAACCATTTTAATAGTAGACATTGGTGACTTTTCTATACATTATATCTAAGTAGACCGAGCATTTGAAAAAGAAAGGACTGTATACTCTCCAACGGTGCAATCCTATGGTCTCTGCACTTGATGGATGAGACCCTCTGCACAGAGATTTATGTGCATCCAATGTAAGTTGTGGCAATAATTCTTATTGCCACTACACTGTGACTCTGCATTGCAGCAAGACATACATTTTTGGCCACTTAGATGAAGTGCCATGGAATGGGAGGCAAGGGGGCTGGGGCACTGTAAACCACTGGCCCCACCGCCTCCCCATCCCCAGGCCATTCCCACAGCATGCTCAGAGGCCAATTTCTCACTCCAGAGGCAGCCAGCATGATTCTTCCCATGGTAGCTGCAAGGCCACCAGACCCCAGAACTGGGCTTCTGTATTTGGAATCTCAGGTGTGAGATTACAGGATCTCAGCACTGGTATTCTGAATAACTCTATGCCCCACTCCCAACAATGCCAGGATGCCACAGGTTTGTACCCCAACACTTACAATACCTGAGTTAATACTTAAAGAAGAATTTGGGAGCAGTTGCATCAGGTTCCACCTAGAAAGAAAGGAGTTATGTGCACATGATACTCTCCCCCTGAGTGGGACCATCCTCACATTCTAATCATTAGTAGGCAATAATCATTGATTCAGAAGAAACGTTCTACGTATTAGCCATATGAAACCTTGGAATAGTCTTCTGAATACAAGTGAAGGAACAATATGAAGTATTCTGATACAGCTCTTTTGTTTTCCCCATTTCAAGGAACAGTCTAAGATATACACTGGCTTTGAGTGCCAGACAAAGGTGCTTAATACAACAATTTTTCCTATGACTTTCTCTGGAAAATTACTTACTTGGCAATACGAGAGTATTTCACTTTCTTTTGGCGTGCTTTTTCATTTGCATGTACTTTTCCATGGACCTCTTTGCCCTTCTCTGCTTCAGTCAACTCTTCATCATCTAGGTCTTTTGCCGATTCCTCATCCTCAGACTGACCTTTCGGTAGTCTAGATTTCAAACCATCTAGCTCTGTATCACACTCCCACACACATAAAGCTCCATCCCGGCTGAGAGTGTACAACTAGAATACCAAAATATAATGACTATGATCATCACACAATAGAAGTGGCCCTTAACAGGTGTGCTGCATGCAAGCTATTCAACTCAACTTGGCCCATAAGGCTGTAATCCTCTAGCAACAGATAATTATTAGATGAAACTTTTAAAACAGTCTTAAAATCTACCTGTGTAACAATTACAAAAACACAAACTTCATATGCACTCTTATTTTGGGAAAATAAAAATGTTTGAATGTGTGCAATCTAATAAATTTAATTATTTCAATGAACAATATGCCTTGATGGTATTGTATTTATTGGTATTTTATTAGCACTATACCATTTTTTTAGAAGAATCATACAGCACATAAATATTTGAGAGGAATTTCTGCACAAACACAGCTCCTCACAGTCTTATCTCATATGATCATCAAAAATAAATGTGCCAAACCCCAATCAACATGAAAAATATTGTGAAAAATGTATTAAATGGTTCTTACATCTAGACTGTGTTCTTCAAAGAAACAGGCAACAATTGCATCCTTATGACCTGCCAATGAGTAATAAACCAGATTGGCCCATCGTTCTGCTCCAAATATCCATGTTGACATATCCTTGCTGCCTACTGCAAAACATCTACAATTTTAAAGAAGAGATTAGAACATTATTTTGTGCATCTCTCAAAAAGTAGTTAGTACTAGACAAGTGTTTATGGACAACTGTTAGCCTTGGGAAAGACACCAAGAAATGAATAGACACAACTGAAACAAGTGAATATTCACTTCCACCATCACAGGAAATCTCCTGTTCTCAGAGGAAAACAACCCTTGGATCCAATGCATAGTTTCCACCAGCAACACTTCTAAATAGGTGCTCCTTCCAGCTAACTAGTTTAAACTGGAATATGTATTCAGGCAATGCTTTACTGTTGTAGGTCAAAGTGTAAATATTCAGGATATCACTGGATACACAAAACTGAGTTTACTAAACAGATCAAGGGATATTTACACTGATTCTGAAATGGCTGGACAAAGTTCTAGAAATCAAACCACAAAGCCATTTTCATAGATTCCCTGTTTTGCTGGAGTTCCTTTAGCTTGCCCCCACCCCACCCCACCCCACCCCACCCCACCCCACCCCACCCCACCCATCTACTCTGGAGAACTGGAATAATGTAGGAGGTAGTACAAAGGGACTGTATAGATAAGAGGGAATAAGTAATCACAGAAAGGCTTCCCTGGATTGAAATTCCTTCTGCAAATGGAAAGACTACCTCCATTATTATTACATTTATGTTGTTGTTAGTCGCAAAGTCGTGTCCAATCCATCGCGACCCCATGGACAACATTCCTCCAGGCCTTCCTGTCCTCCACCATCCCCCAGAGTCCACTTAAGCTCATACCAACTGCTTCAGTGACTCCATCTAGCCACCTCATCCTCTGCCGTCCCCTTCTTCTTTTGCCCTCAACTGTTCCCAGCATTACGCTCCTCTCCAATGAGTCCTTCCTTCTCATTAGGTGGCTAAACTATTTGAATTTCATCTTCAGTATCCGGCCTTCTAAAGAGCAGTCAGGGTTGATCTCCTCTAGGACTGACCGGTTTGATCGCCTTGCAGTCCAAGGGACTAGCACGAGTCTCCTCCAGCACAATTCAAAGGCCTCAATTCTTCGGCGCTCAACCTTCCTTATGGAAGCCATACATTGCAACTGGGAAAACCATAGGCTTGACTATACACACTTTTGTCAGCAGGGTGATGTCTGCAGTCCCTGTCTGTGGTGATCTTGGAGCCCAGGAAAATAAAATCTGTCACTACCTCCATTTCTTCCCCATCTATTTGCCAGGAAGTGAGAGGACCGGATGCCATGATCTTAGTTTTCTTAATGTTGAGTTTAAAGCCAACTTTTGCGCTCTCCTCCTTTACCCACATCAAGAGGCTCTTTAGTTCCTCTTCACTTTCCGCCATTAAAGTGGTATCATCTGCATATCTGAGGATGTTGGCATTTCTCCCAGCAATCTTAATTCCAACTGGTGGTTCATCTAGCCTTGCCTTTCTCATGATGTGCTCTGAATGTAAGTTAAATAGGCAGGGCGACAGTATACAGCCTTGCCGAACTCCTTTCTCAATTTTGAACCAATCAGTGGTTCCATGTTATACACCATCCTTTTTCCTTTTGTGAGGAAGCCAAAGCAGCTTACAAAGTTCTGTTTTATCCTCACAACAACCATCACATGAGGTAAGTTAGGGCAAGAGTTAGGGACAGGCCCACAGTCACTCAGTGAGCTTCATGGTCAAACAGGGACTAGAAGCTAGATTTCCCAGGTCCCAAGTCCAATGCTGTAACCACCACACCACAATGGTTCTTAGCACCACTGGAACTAACTTTAATAAAAAAGCTTATTAATGAATGGAAACATACAACAGACTATAGCTGTATAGAAAACTGATTAGGGCAAGATTTTAAAATATATCATTGGAAGTGAACAGCACAAGTTCCACTGACTTTTAACCAATTTGATCATTTTGTGTGATATGCTGACAAATGGCAGAACTTACTTGGAATCATCAGTCCAAGCAATGCATGTTGTTTCATCATATGCACCATAATAAGTAGTGTCAAGGACAAATGCATTAAATTCTCTTTTTTTCCCTGGGGCATGGTACATCATGGCCACTTTATCCTTTGTGACAACAAATTTCCTGTTACACATAAAATGAAGAGTAAATTTAATGTACATAAAATTTCAGCAGAGAAATAAAAATCAAGAGGTAAAGTCTAGCAATGTTAGATAAGACACATGCGGAGAAGTAAAGCTGTGCAGACTTCTTACAACAACAGTTATAAAAGTATACATTTACAGTGTACAGCATAGGTGAGCAGCTTGTGGCCCTGCAAATGTTTGGCAGTAGTTGAATTCCTATCAGCATTAGGCAGCATAGCTAATTTCGTTTTTATTTATTTAGAACTTTTATATACCACTGTACAGATTCTGGATAATGGTTTAAATGAATGAAGACTAATATATTTTTAAAAATCTGTGACTAGTCTATCAAGAAAGGCTTTTTGGGATATACACATTTTAAGGGGACACAAAAAAACCACACAATGTTGGTGACTTTCAGAGAGTTTCACATAAATAGACCCTACGCCCCCCATGAGACTGAAGGCTGTTCAGGTGGACTTCAATTGGGTTACAGACCCATGTGGAACTATGAGAAACATCCCATCCGGTAATAATGTGCCCAGTAATAATGAGGGATTATAGGACTTATGTTCCAAAACATTTGAAAAGCCAGGAATAATCTAGGTCAAATCTAACCCCTACCACTAATCATTTGGTGATTTCCTGATGTCTGCATACTTGCCCCATTTGAAAAGGCTGAAATGTATCTCCTAAGGCTTAGTTATTGGCAGAAAGTTTTAGATTAGAATGTTATGCATCCTTAGACAGAATTAAGGCTTATAAATTCCAGCATTCCAGGCAGGGGTATGCTAGGAGCTGTAGGTTTTTCTCTGTCTAAATATGCATAACAGTAAAGGTTTCCCCTTGACATTAAGTCCAGTCATGCCTGACTCTAGGGGGCGGTGCTCATCTCCGTTTCCTAGCCAAGGGAGCCAGCGTTTGTCCGCAGACAGTCTCCGTGGTCATGCGGCCGGCATGACTAAACACCGAAGTGCACGGAACGCTGTTGCCTGCCCACCAAAGTGGTACCTTTTTATCTACTTGCATTTGCATGCTGTCGAACTGCAAGGTGGGCAGGAGCTGGGACGGAGCAACAGGAACTCACCCCATTGTGCAGATTCAAATCGGCGACCTTTCGATCAACCAGCCCAGCAGCACAGCGGTTTAAACCACTGCACCACATACTGCACCCTTAATATGACTTTCTGCTTCACTTCCATTAACTACTGGAATATCGTTTCCAAGAATTTTTCTGAAATTGTCCTTGTGCTGAAAGTGTTTGACAGCCCTGATTTATAGCAGAAAAAATATTTCAAATAACTATTATATTACACATTTTCACAGACTGAGCAAACTACAGTGACTTTCTCAATGGGAAGGCAGTTCAGTTTAAAAAAAAAAAACCTTTCCTTGTGTCCAATAAAAAAACACATTTCTTTCATCCCTACCTGCATGACAAGCACAATTTATTCAGGTATAACTAGTACTACTATTATTTAAATACACTGGAAGTAAATAAAAACAAAGCTCCTCATACCTTCCATTTGGGGAAAAGCAGACACTATGCACTGGTTTCTGAAAATGGAAACGATGTATCACTGCTTTACTGATCAAGCTGACAAGTAAGGCAGCTCCCTCTATAGAGAAAATAAATATTTGAATCTTTGAAAAATGTGTTGAAACATTACAAACAGCATCACCTCTGTGTGAGAATATTAACTAAGGCAAAACTCTTAACTAAAATATAAAATTAATTTTATTTAAGGGAATCTAATTCAAGCAAGCATTTTTTATTGGAAACCAACAGAACATACATATAAAACATCAATACAGTACTTATTTGTTCTTAAACAAAATCTAATCCTAACTTCAGATATGTTAAGGTACTTTCTGGTTTGAACATATTCCTTAAAAAGAAAAATACAAATACCTTCATCAACTAATATTGCAAGATTTCCATCTGGAGAGAGTCCTATGCATGCAATATTGTACTGGGTTGCCACTGGTAATGTTTCAGACTTGTTACTGGAAGAGAGGATAGAAAAATAAGTAACATGTCAAAACAGCAACAAAATAGTAATCTACAAATCAGTAATTTCAGTTACACACTGCTGCTCAATTCAGGAAAGTGATCTATGCATGGGAACATGTTTCTTCACACAGTACCATGTCATCCAGACTTCCCGTCTCAACTTCTGTAACGCGCTCTACGTGGGGCTACCCTTGAAGACGGTCCGGATACTTCAACTGGTTCAAAACAGAGCTGCCAGGCTGCTGACGGGGACTGGGCGTTGTGTTCACATGACTCCAGTCCTCCGTCAGCTTCACTGGCTTCCCATTGAAGTCCGGGCCCAATTCAAGGTGTTGGTGAGGACCCAAGCCGTTTAGGGCTTTATAGGTCATCACCAACACCTTGAATTCGGCCCGGACTTCAATGGGAAGCCAGTGAAGCTGACGGAGGACTGGAGTCATGTGAACACAACGCCCAGTCCCCGTCAGCAGCACTGGCTTCCCATTGAAGTCCGGGCCCAATTCAAGGTGTTGGTGATGACCTATAAAGCCCTAAACGGCTTGGGTCCTGGTTACCTGAAGGAGCACTTGCATCCATATATGCCCAGCCGCCCCTTGAGATCGGCGGGGGAGGCCCTTCTCCGGGAACCCTCCATGAAAGAAATTAGGAGGGTGGGTACTCGGAGGAGGGCTTTCTCTGTGGTGGCGCCTAAGTTATGGAACGCTTCCCAGAGAGGTCCACCTGGCGCCGTCATTATTTGTTTTTCGGCGCCAGGCAAAGACCTTTTTATTCAAGAGGCATTTTAACTGTTAACATTATTGGTTTTATCTGGCCAGGGCGGCTTATTTTATACTGTGTTGTTGTATTTTTAATTTAATATTTATATTTTTAATTTATATTATAATTATTTTAACTTAATGATGTGAGCCGCCCCGAGGCTTCGGCGAATGGGGCAGCATAAAAATGTTTTAATAAATTAAAAAAAAATCCAACATATTTGAGAACAGAGAACACAATCTTCCCCATTGTTAATTCAGTAAACTAGTCATTAGCTCATCTGATTACTTTAAGAATTATACATGTTTCTTTCTTCATTGCAGAAAAAGGGCTTCAGAAAAGGTCCCAAGAAGCCTTTAAAAAAGAATACTTAACATGCTTCAGGGAGGTGTTGAGGGGATAATCTTAAACAGGAGGGACAGTAACACTCCACTTTCTTTAGCAATCATGTGCTGTTTGAGACAGCTGTTACAAATAATAAGGAAAATACATACTTCTTTAAGTCAAAGATGGTAATTCTGTTTCCCACAGGACTAATCAGAGAGTTTCCATCTGGAGTGAAATTCAGGTTTCCCCGGTGGTAGACTGTACCTAACAAATTGGAAAACTACAAAAAAAGAGAAGTGAATTGTTATTGAACCAGAAAAGTGATGCTGTGCACCAATATGGATAAAACAGAGGTGGTGCTTAATTTGGACAAGACAGAGGTACTCCTGGACAGTTAAATCATGAAACAGAGATTCCTGTGCTTAATGGGGTTAATACTTCTCTTATCAGCCCAGGATCACAATTTCTTAGATTCATCCTAAACCAGGATGCTCAGGTTTTGGTAGTTGCCAGAGCTGCATTTGCACGGCTGATGCTAATTCACTATTTGTGTTCCTGGAGATGCTAGATCTTGCCACAGTGTTACGTGGCTTATTCATATCTTCTTTGGGCTACTGTGATGCACTCTATATGGAGCTGCCTTTGAGTAGTGCTTGAAAACTTCAGTTAGTTCAGAATACTGCAACCAGAGAGTTGACTGGTGACTGTTAAACAGAGCCTATGATTCACACACTACAGTAGCTTCACTTCCTACTGGTTGTCTCTGGGTTATGAGCTATAAAAATTTATAGAACTTGAGATCAGCGTATCTGAAAGACCATGTTATTCCCATACAGGCCTGACAATTTTTTAAAATCTTCAAGGGAGGCCCTTCTCTTGCTATCATCAAGCATGTTCGAGCAGATGAAAGAAAAGGTATTTTTCCATGGCTGCTCCTAGACTTTTAACTGCAAGCCAGGAGAGGTTAAGATGGTCTTCTCTGTTCTTCTATCACCCCATAAAGACATTTTATACAAGTAGGCTTCTGGTATGTAGCTGGTTTGCTGTTCCAAGTTTTTTTAAGTATTTGGGTGCTGCCTATTTCTTTCTATTGCTATGTTTTAAACTTTAACTCAATGGTTTAATTGAAATGTCTTTATATTTTACAGTTTTTAGCCACTTTTTATGCCCTTTTGGGCAAAAAACAAATAAAATAAATGAACAGGTTACATTAGCTCCCCCAAAAGCAATTTCCAAGAGTGAAACAGAGCAAAACTTAGGAGAGTCCGCACAATAGAGATGAGAGAAGCACATATATGATTTGAAGCAATTCACTCCTGAAAGCTGAGAGAAAATAAGCACATGAAATACATAGTTAAATCCAAGATATATTAACCACTCACATGTTCCCATATCACAACTCCCACCATATAATTAAATCAAATCTTACATCACTTCCAGAAGATGCCCAACTCAAATATTGTCAAGTGGTGCAGAAAATGATTCTGAAACCAAGATTTCCAGGGCATCCCTGGGGCCCAAGGAACATACTAATCACAAATGTAATTGACTGTCTCCACTGACTTGTGATAGGATGGCATAATGTGAAGATGCAGGCAATCTCTTGGGCAGTTTGTACCTATTATTCAGTGAGAATAAGTTCAATAGTGTTGAGCAGGGCTGTCAAGGACAGTATAGTTTAGAGAATACCCGTTCATATGATCGCCCTGAGTCAACGCTGACTTGAAGGTATGCATCAGTAACAACATTCAGCATGGAAAAGGAAGCTGATAATGAATGCATCCAGCCAGAGAGGGGAGGGGGAGAAAGGCCCCATGCCTCCAAACGGCTACTGAAAGGCCCAGCCCAAGTTTCATTCCCCGAAGCCAGAAACACACTTTGTTCCATTTCACAAGACATCTATCAAAAGCAGCAGCGGGAAAGGAAAAGAGAGAGCCAGCTTCAAGCCGCCTAGGGGGAATGGGATGCGGGAAACTAAACAAAGGACGCCGCCCGACCAAAGAGCGGGTCTTTTCCAAGACGGAGAGATCGCCACACTCAAACCCAAGCGAAGCTGCCCCTTCCTCCCGCACGCTGCTCGCTCACCTTGTAAGCGAACTTCATCCCGACCGCCCTCGTGCTAGCAGCAGCCCTCACGCACGCAGAAGCACGAGCCGCACGGAAGGGCTTCCCCATAGATTTCCGGGTCAACAGGAAATGGTTGCCGGAACAACGCTCCCTCCGCGTCCGTACGGAAGGGGCGGGTTAGCAACAAGGCCCGGACGCTCAGCGTTCCTGGTTACGTTTCCGCTTGTGTGCTTCGCTTTAATAAGGTTAAGCAAAAAAGCGAAAAGTTCTGAATATAGGCTTTCTACGCGTGGGATCGGGTGATGAAGAGCTAGACCCACTGATCAGAATCTGCTCGCCCTCCTGAGTGTCCCCTGGCCGTTCAAACAGAAATATGATAGTAGTAGAAAGTGAGGCAAATAGGTTAAGCGGACATCAAGGGGGTTTTCTCCACCCCGCCTTTTTTTTCAGAATAGGAATGCAAGTTTTTTCTCGTCTTGCCTCATCTCCAACGCGAGCACGTTTAGTGCTCTTATGTTTGGCCTAAGAATAGGTATTAAATGAACATACATTTTGGAATGTCATTTAAAGCAGTTTTACCCTACCTTTCAAAAGCTTCCCTACAGTGGCTTGTAATGAAATATAAACATTACGTTGCCTTAACTCTTCGGTGACAGTGCTTACGATTTCAATTCTGTTTAAATTGTCCCTCCACTTCCTTGCCCTCCTCCCCAATCCAAGGTCTCACCCTTCTTAAAGTGGTTGTGGTTACATCTAAAGCAGGGGTAAACACTTATGTCCCTCCAGCTGTTTTGGTCTAAACCTCTCATCCGTTCTCACCAATATAGTCGATGTTGAGGGATCATACGAGTTTAGATCTAAAGGGCTGGGAAAAACAGCTGGGAAAAGTCTTCAAGTGCCTTTTCTGCTCTAATTTTATGGGCTGCTGCCTTTCTTTCCAAGGCTTGATCAGGCACAGCATGTACATACCAATTCTAATTGGGCTTGTGCTTCTGTAGCCAAAACTGTGGCCTCCAGACCCGAAAGTGAGTTATTTGCATATTCCGAGTAATTGCTGAAGTACAAAAACGTTTGCTTTAATTGGACAAAAGGTCCCAATAAGGACGAAGCATGTTTGGTGCTTGCACATTCTGCTTACCAACTGCTGAATGGAATAGTGTGACTTGGAGTGCAAGCCCCTTTTGTTTCAAGTCCCACTTGTGTAATGCTAGTGCATGGCTTTTAATGTTAGCAGCCTGGGTTCTGCAGATGGAGCATGTTGGAATGCACAGTAATTACAGCAGGTATTCTGTTTTCTCCAGTGAGGACACTGCAAACTTCATGCATCATTTTAGCACTTTTTACACCATGAAAAATGTTTACGAAAAAGATGTGAAAGAAAAGCAATGAAGGGTTAACCAATACTCTGTGTTAAACATTATTTGTACCTTTAGATAATTGAATCTTACTACTTTACAGCAGTGAATAGTTCTTTAATATGTTAAGTATGACACTAATATGAATGTGTCATAATGATCTTTCAAAGATGGTCACATTTCATGGTTTGAAAGAGCCAGAAAAATCTCAAGCCTAAATAAAGTGTTCCAAGAAAACCTGTTCATACAGATCAGAGATACAGCCAGAAAGGGAGCACTAGTCTCAAAATACTTAAAATAGATTTATTAAGAAACTAATGCATTTCAGTCAACTAATGCATATATTATTTATGGCCTTCCTCAGTAAAATTCTTTTAAAAGTCTTCAGAAAACTCTGTAGTGTTCCTATGTACCTATGAAGATACAAATATTTCATTTCTGTCATGGGCGGATGACATTCAGTCTGGATTAAGTCACAGCTACACTGTATTGTGAAGTATTCCAGGGTCTGTTGCTTGAAGATCCAATTGCCTCCTGACTGGAGCTTCAGAGGGGCAATGATAAGACAGAACTCAGCTCCTCCCTCAGCACATTCCATACTACAGCATCCTTTTCAACAGCAATAATTGACAGTTGCCATTGGTGCTCTCCAGGGATACCTTAGGACTATCAAATTTAGTACAGCACAGGTTGAAACGAAGTGCAAGTATAAGTCTGCTCACTTGATGGGAATTCAGCATCCTTAACCCTTCAGTTCCCTAACCCTTCAAACTGTATTTTGAACATTAGTAAGGGGCGGAAGGTAGGAGACTGACCCCCTTCCGCACTCTGTAAACAGAATAGCTATAACGGGATTCCACCTATATATAGCCTTGCTAGAGGAGTGCTGCTAGACATTTGGTTGTTTATTGCTGCAGCAGACTGCCACAATTACCCCCCAGGAACCTGTTTTAATTTGATTTAGTCTCTTTATCCCCAAATCATTTCAGTAGCTTTGTTTGTAACCCCCATAGAGGCATGACTATTCACTTTTAAGCAGGAAATGCCTAAAAATCAGTAAGTTATTATGATAGGGTAGCCACATTCCCCTTTCATGGCTGGGTCACTTCAAAGAAAATGTCCCTCACAATGTAAGAGCTACTCTAAGTCAGCCCCCGATTCATCTGTAGTGGCTCCTCACGGCAAGGATGCATTTCTGAAAACTCTGAAATATACAAAGGCTTGTCAAATGATAGTCTGGTACCCAGTTTCACAAGATACCAACTCACTCCATAAAAGAATGTTTATTGATCTCTCTCTGAAGGAGATACGGCACATTCAAGGGTTAAGTCTCATGTACCATATTTAAGGTAATTGTCTTAAGGTAGTTTGGTACTCTAGCAGCTCGGTATGATCTTGTATAAGAAATAAATAGGAAGATACAGCAGATGCTACTATCTGAAAAGCTGCCTGAAATAACTGACCATTAGCTTAACTTACAGATTTAGGCCCTCTTATTACTCATAAGTCTCAAATGAGGATACACACAACAGTTGAATGTCAGGAAAACTGTAGGAATTTGTTTAAAATATTCAAGATTTTTATTCACTTTATCCACTGCTTTTCTGTGTTTTTATAGACAGTTTATTCCCCAAGTTTCATGGCACCACTTTAAATCAGAAATAAAAATTTGTAATAATGTTTCTGAATATCCTTTCCCTCCTATTTACTTCTCTATGTTTAATCCTGTGCATAGCATCATAGGATCTTACAGAAATGCAGATAGGAAATACCACAAGTATCACATTAAGTTCAACAACTTCCATAGAAGGAGTTAATTTTTCCAGTCACAAATGTGTGAAATTCACAAAAATTGTACTCCTTTAACCCATTTGATACTTATTTACAAGCTTGAAAGTTATCTATAAATAGTATAATCCATAATTTCAAATACACATTGGAAATCAAGCCATTTACATCTTTACCCAGAAAACCAATCCCCATTTCTTTCTGTACACAAGTATCTGCTCAAGTAGTGATTAGATTACACATCTGTAGTATTTTAGTGAATTTCATCGTTACAGCATAAACGTGAAAATGTCATGCTGCTCTAAAACCAAACTAGTGAAAACATCCACAGTAACTGCTTATAAAACCCTATCTTGTTTTAGGAACTTTCACAAGAAATAAGGTTGTTCATTATATTCAAAATGTACTTTTGTACTGAAACCTTTGTTCACAAATGTTCAATGCAGAAGGACCACTTCCAGTTTAAATACATTTTATGGTTTAAATGAAAAACTTTAGTTATACACATACCAACATTGTATAGCTTCATTAATCCTTACAAGTAAAAGAACATGATAAAGATAGGCAATTTTTTTGAAAAAGGTTTGACATCTTGCTCTATTCTTTCCAAGTAAATTAAAGCAAATTACGAACAAAGAGACAGGAAATCTCCAGTGGTAATTTCATGAAATTAAGAAAAGGAATTTTGAAATACAACTTCAAGTTTCTAGTCCAGGAAGAAAAGAACTGAAACGTAAACTAAGTTAAGTTACTTTACATTTCAGTATCATGAACTACTGGAAAATGTATTGGAAAAATAACTTGCCTACTTCAGTTGTTCTGTATGTGAGAAAAGTAATCAAGAAAAATAGTGCACAATGTTGGAACAGATATAACACATTCAGACAAATACTTCAAAAGATTTGGATTTTGGTTCCCTACTGTCTTGTGTACCCAAGACATTAAAGCCTATGGTAACAACTAAAGATTTGCATTATTCCTGCAAAGTTTGTTCATATGACAGAGACTCCTAACTAAAAGTCTATGAATGTTGCCAAAAGAAAATAAAAGTGTAGGCCAGTAACAGGAGTGAATAGCAGCTAGGACTGTAGCAGTGAATTTTAGAGAAATGCTTATGTACAAAAATACATAGTTTCTGAGAACTGGAAAAGGTTCTACACACTAGACTTATTTACAAGCTTTAACTTTTACATGAATAAAAACACATTTATTTTATCTTTGATTTCTGGAGCAGGGTATACACAGACATTGTATCAGATTAGTTTAGACTTTTTAAAATAATCATTTGTACAATAAATTTACAACTGAAAAATAATCAGTTGGTATAACTGTAGTTTGCTGGACCAGAAGAAGTTAAATTACAACCTTAATTTTTCCCATAACAGACTGGAAAAAAGCAGTCGAGTAAGGCTTTCTACAACCCATGCCTTTATTTGCTGCTTCTCATATTATTCTAGAATAAGGTGCAAATATATATATAAAGATATATGGCTCTGTAGTCCACAATAATTTAACAGTAGTTGGGACACAGGACAGAAACAAACTTTGGTTTCAAAAATATCAAGTGAAATACTGAATAAAAAGCTATGTAATCAGATTCAATATAGTAACATCTAATCATTTGTATCAGTCTTGGGCAAAACCTTTTTGTCCAGAGAACACTTATTTCTAACTTAACCACTTACGTGCCATTTCACTACTTGCATTGAGGGAGGGAGGAGCAAGAGTGAGTGTTTCTCCAGTGAGTCTAAGTAATGGCTCTTTATATGGTACGAATTCAAGAGCATTAATGGGCTAATAAATTTCATACATCCCAAGGCACAGAAGAAGTTAAGTCTCCAAGAAAAAATATATACATATTTAAAATATTGTAAATAGCTGTGGGATTAAGAATCACTCACTCTGTTGTACAGAAACGTGAAAAGTTATTCTGGTCCAGGAAACCAGACAGT